CGGCCGGCGCCCGGGTCCTCGGCGCGAGGCCTCTTGGCCTTTCACCCCGGGCGTGGGGCCCCGTCGCCCTGGTCACCTGGACGCCCCTCACCTGACCGGCCGCCCCGCTGGAAGAGACTTTGGTGGAGCTGCTTTGTTTCGGAGGCAGATTACACAGGTAATGCGCGGTTGTGAAGGGCTTTTGCAACTAACGAGAGCAAGAATTAAGTAAGAATAAAGCCACGCTGACTCCCCGCGCACATAACCCCTGCTTCTCTCCTCGTTTATCTGCTTCCAGTGAAGTGTGCGTTATAATATACTGTATTCTTAGCAATGGAAGCAAACCAGGGGCGCCCGGGTGGCTGTCGGCTAAGCCTCTGAGTCTTGGTTGCAGCTCAGGGCATGACCTCGTGGTTGGTGGTTTCGAGCCCCGTGTTGGGCTCCGCGCTGGCAGCATGGAGCCTGCTTGGGATTCTCTCTCTGCCCTTCCCCTGCTCATGCGCGCTCGCTCTCTCTCTCTCTCTCTCTCTCTCTCTCTCTCTCAAAATAAATAGACTTAAAAAGAAAATAGAAGCGAGCCGGACGCACTGTTATAAGCTACTTCTTTTGGATAAACATCATCTTTGCATGCCGTCGCGTGTGTCTACTCCAGGTTAGTAAATCAATTGGCAATTTGTTGGATGTGCTTAATATGGTTGAAGGCAACTTTCGATAGCCTCACATCCAGCCCGTTAAATCTATGGAGGTTTGTCCAAAAGCCAATCTGGCATCTCCCTTTGAATGTCTAACAGGTATCTCAAACTGAATATAGGCCACATAAGACTTTTGATCCAAATGTCATACTCACTCTCCAGTGTTCGTCATCCCGGCAAAAGTTCCCACTTCCCCCTTGGTTGTTCAGGACCAAAACCTAGGAATCATTCTCGATTCTCTCCTTTCCTCACGTTCTGGAATCTATCTTTCAATAAAACCTGAATCTGTCCTTTTGTCACTATCTCCACCTCACAGTCACCATCATCTCTTGCCCAAGTTAGTCTCTGTGCCACCTGTCTTCTCTCCTACAGCCTACACAAAAGCAGCGTTTTAGTGGCTTCTCACGGCACTTAGGAAAAAGATCCAAACTCTTCCTGGTGGGGGTCTTGCCTCCTGCACTGACTCGCTTCATCTCCTACCACTCTTCCCCCTTCCAGTCCACACTAGCCACGCCTTATTTCCCCGGGTTCCTCAATCGTGTCCGACACTTTCCTGCTTAAGATTCAGCAATAGCTGCTTCCCTTATTTGGAATATTCTTCCTCCACATCTCCGCATTGCCCACTTCTTTGCTTGAAACAGGTGGGTTGTCTCCTCAAATGTCATCTTCAACGAAGCCTTCCCTGACCATTCAATCGGAAATATTTCACCCCAGTTACTTTCTCACCTCAGTCAACCTCTCTTATAACCGTCTTGTTTTCAAAATACCTAGTACCCCTTGAGATCATCTTTTATAATTTTTGGTATATTAATTACTGCCCGTCTCTTCACCCTGGAATGCAAGATGTCTATCTTGTTCCCTCTCTATGTTCCTACTGTTTCGAACAGTTCCTGGCTTATAGTGGATGTTCAATAAATATTGATGATTGATTGATTGAATGAATGAACATCTGTCCTCAGACTGGATGAAGATACAAAAGAGAACATGACCTGTCAAAATGGAGAGTGTGATAGAAGAAGAAAAACTGTAATTACTGATACGTTTTATCTATTTTAACATAAAATATTCACATAAGTAGTAAAATATAAATGTACAGTTTTTCAAAAGTGAACACTTATGTAAATAACACCTAGGTCAAGAAATGGAACATTGTAAAAAGCAACGAAGAACTCGTGTCCTTTCCCAATGTTAACCGCCCCCCCCTTTTCCAAGCGACCACTATCTTAATATTTATAGAAAACGCTTTCTTGCTCTTCTTTATATAATTTTATAATTCATTAATTCTCATTTCTATAATGTATTCCACTGAATGTGTACACAAGAATATATCCATTCCACTGTTGATAGGCATTTAGGTTGTTTCGGTTATTTACTGTTTAGGACTATTTTATTTTATTTTATTTCATTTTTTAAGTGTTTATTTTTGAGAGAGAGAGAGAGAGAGAGAGAGACAGCATGAGTGTGGGGGGGGGGGGCAAAGAGAGAGGGAGACACAGAATCTGAAGCAGGCTCCAGGGTCTGAGCTGTCAGCACAGAGCCCGACACGGGGCTCGAACCCATGAACTGTGAGATCATGACCTGAGCTGAAGTCAGCCGCTTAACCAGGTGAGCCACCCAGGTTCCCAGGACTATTTTTTTTTATTTATTTATTTATTTATTTATTTATTCATTCATTCATTCATTCATTCATTTATTCATTCATTCATTTATTCATTTATTTATATTTATATTATATTTATAATGTTTTTTCTTTTTTTTTTTACTTTCTATGATTTATTTATTTTTTTATAATTTACATCCAATTTAGTTAGCACATGGTGCAACAATGATTTCAGGAGTAGATTCCTTAGTTCCCCTTACCCATTTAGCCCATCTCCCCTCCCACAACCCCTCCAGCAACCCTGTGTTTGTTCTCCATATTTAAGAGTCTCTTATGTTTTGCCCCCCTCCCTGGTTTTATATTCTTTTTGTTTCCCTTCCCTGTGTTCATCTGTTTTGTCTCTTAAAGTCATCATATGAGTGAAATCATAGGATATTTGTCTTTCTTTGACTGACTCATTTCATTTAGCATAATACCCTCCCGTTCCATCCACGTAGTTGCAAATGGCAAGATTTCATTCTTTTTGATTGCCGAGTAATACTCCATTGTGTGTATATATATGTATATATACACATATGTATATATACCACATCTTCTTTATCCATTCATCCATTGATGGACATTTGGCCTCTTTCCATACTTTGGCTATTATGGATAGTGCTGCTATAAACATGGGGGTGCATGTGTCCCTTCGAAAAGCACACCTGTATCCCGTGGATAAATGCCTAGTAGTGCAATTGCTGGGTCGTAGGGTAGTTCTATTTTTAATTTTTTGAGGAACCTCCATACTGTTTTCCAGAGTGGCTGCACCAGTTTCCATTCCCAATTGTTTATTCATTTTTTGAGAGAGAGAGGGGCAGAGAGAGAGGGAGACACAGAATCCGAAGCAGACTCCAGGGTCTGAGCTGTCGGCACAGGGCCCGACGCGGGGCTGGAACTCCCGAACCAGGAGGTCATGACCTGAGCCGAAGTCAAGACGCTCAACCGACTGAGCCACCCAGGTGCTCCACCCCAGGACTATTTTAAAACAATGCAATTATGAGCATTTCTCCTTGTGCACGGGAGTACTCATTTCTCTGGATGAGGGTTTCTTAACCTTGGCAATTTCTTAACCTTGGCCAGTGGCATGGCCCCAGTTGTTTAAACCAAAAATGTTTCCAAGCGTTTCCATATGTTACTGGAGAAGAACTGCCCCCTGTTGAGAATCACTGATCTAGGGTAAACAACAAGCAGTAGAATTCCTGGTTTGTATACCTTTAGATTTACCACATGGTGGCAAAGTGTTTTCCAAAGTACTTTCAAGAGAAGTGACTTGGAATCAGCAGAGTAGAGAGCTCCAAGAATGGGTCCCTTGCAAGAACTGGTCTTCTCAGAAAGAATCCAGCTAGCCAAAAACTGACACAGGCAACATTTTTGGAACTCCGGAATCCAATCAAATACATGTGTCAAGTCACGAGCACCTCATGGGGGGAGAAGCAGCTGAATTTTGGTAGGAGGCACTGTGTAGTTTTTGCTTGCCTGCCTAGCATCCTTTATTCCTGAGCTCATCAGCAGCCTTGTGGACAATGGCCCATGTTCCTGGTACAATGTATCGGTGCCACGGAAAGCAACATGGACATCATTCTCCAAAACTGTGGTCGTGAATTTGACCTGTCTGGTGGTTCCTTAAGGGACCAGTGCAGAGACTGATCGTTATTTTGCCTCAGGTTGGAGTAGCTTTCTGTGTGGCATCCGACAGAAGCATTTAAAGACATATGCTACCTGTTGCTGACTGGGGTAAGGAATGAAGGGTGAAGCAAATAGCATGACAGGCCCAAAGGCCTGGGTACGAGAAGTCTGAGGAGGAAGGTTCTGGGGAGACAAGATCAGTAAAGGACTACCGTGTGCACTGGGGGATCTGGAGGGCAGTGTGCATGCCCTGGGACAGACACATACTCAGAAAAGACCTGAGAGGACGCTAGACTTATAGCTCTGACTGATCTTTGGACTACATTTAAGTAGGAAGTGAAGGCTAAGGCAGAGTTGTCATCAGCTTGGCTTAGCATCAAAGGTGCATCCTAGCTCAGAGCCAATATGCAAAGACCCAGGAAGGTTTTTTCTTTTCTTTTCTTTTCTTTTCTTTTTGTCTTTAGGCACTTAAGGAAATACATTCTGTCCCCTGGCTGGCTGCTGAGATAACAGAACAGAGACTTCAGTGAGCATATGTGACAAGTAGTACAATCCTTTGCAAAAACAGTTTGGAAATGGAAAGCTGTGACCTTCAGTGATCCACACCAGAAACCTGTGGGAAGGGAGAGAATCCGTAGTGATGGCATTTGTCATTTAGGGCTTGGGGGAGAAGTGGACAGGGTACAGAGATGATTTCTAAACAATATGAGGTTTCTTTTTGAGGTGAGGAAAATGTTCTAAAACTGTGGTGATAGTGGCACGTATCTGTGAATATACTAAAAACCACTGACTTGCACAGTTTACATTAGTGAAATGCATGCTATGTAAATTATATCTCAATAAAGCTGTTTTTTTTAAAGCTATGTTGTTGGCTCATACACATGCTTTTTTTATGTTTATTTTGAGAGAGAGTGTGTGTGTGCATGAGTGGAGGAGGGGCAGAGAGAGAGAGGGGGGGAGAGAGAATCCCAAGCAGGCTCCACACTGTCAGCACAGAGCCACAAACCATGAGATCATGACCTGAGCCAAAATCAAGAGTCAGACACTTACCTGACTGAGCCACCCAGGTGCCTCAGCTCATATACATTCCTACTCTAACATATTCCTGGTCATTTATCTTTGTATCAGTATGAACTATCCCTCTGGGTCCTGAACTTTTCTCTTTGAATCCCATTCACTTTTCCCCCTGCTTTATTGGTGTATAATTGATAATTAAAC